TGTGTGTGTGTGTGTGTGCATGCGTGTGTGTGTGTGCGCGCGCCTGTGTTTGTCTAAAAAAAATGCTAATTTCAATTAAGAAAAAAAGTAAATTGAATACGGTATTATTTTACAGTGACAGGGGGGAAAAGCAGACTTTGAAGCATGATTATATTAGTATTTTAAACCATATATTTGTTTTATACAACCAAGGCAAGGCATTCTGAATTTTCAAAAAAAGTAAAAACTGAATAATTTTTTTTTAAGTGATTTAAATCACAGAATTTTATTTTTAAAATCAAGTTGATAAAAATATTTTTTTTTAAACGAAATCAATCCAACCCTGCTAACTAGCAGAAAGACAACAACCTGCAATCCAATTTTTTAAACACAATCTGCAACCCATCTTTTCCCCAGTGCCTTTATCCTCAGCACAAGTCATTTCTGTTTTTAGATTTTATTAAAGAGAATACAGTTTAGCATGCGCATAGCGAAATCAGCGGGACACAGAAATCGTTTCCTTTTCTTAATTTAAAGAATACATGAGCATTTAGAGCTGGTTCTTATTTGAGGTTAAACGCTATATAAATGTCATGCATTATTATTATTACACAAGCTTGTTTTAAAATTCATCTGCTGCCATCTCCTTGTAAAAACTCTGCATTATATCACAGCATCAAGTCTCTAAAAAATAAAATGCATGTATACATTAAAGGAAAAAAAAAATCAATAAAATGGAAAAAACTGAGGTTTGACCAGGAGCTGAAAAATATGTGCTGAGACTGCTAAAAACAAAGGAGAATTATTAGCACTAACCTTTCCGATGTGAAGTTGGTAGCTGTCACAACCACATCATCAGTGTTCTGGACTAACACTGGGATCTTGCGACAGCCTGGAGACTTGAGAATTCTGGTGAGGAGCTTGAGAGTCTCCTGTAACACGTTGGGAGGACACATGTCGATTTTTGTGACCACAACAAACACCGGCACATTCAGGGCCAGAGCCAAACCCAAGTGCTCTTTGGTCATACCAATCACGCCAGCGTTCGCTCCGATCTGAGGGGAAAATAGAAACACAATGTAGTTTTTTTATCAATTTCTAATGTTTAGTCTGTGCAGCATCAGGTCCTGAATTTTTGGTTTTCAGTGATGGGAACAGGTGTCAGTGAATGGAAATTAAACAAAGTCCCCCATAACAATGATAATACTGATGTTATATTTTACAGATATTGAACAATTTCTTGTCTAGGAGTCTGAGAGACACACAAATGCTAAACAAAGTTCACAATGAACTAAGTAGTAGTAGTACATTCAAAATCAGATACCTCCAACGCATCAGGGGTTGAAAAATGTGTTCGACACATCCATTCAGAGTAAATCATGATTTATAATTAGAAATAAGAAAGACATTAAAGAAAACCAAGGAAGTGGTGAGAAAATAAACCATTTCCATCATGAAAAGAACTCAATATCAATAAAAGGATAGAAATGTGAATAATGATTGTGCCTTGTTCTGGGTTGAGGCAAGACAACAGAAAAGTGTGATGCTGATGAGCCTTTCAACTAAAAAAAAATCTGCTCTTACGTCAGATCATGATCATGACAATGTAACCAACACTGGCCAGAAAAGCTCTGTGCTGTCATGTCTAAAGGCCAGTACGGTACTATTCTTTCTGTTTCCTCCTTTTCCTCTTTCACTAGTCTATGACAGCAAGGCTAACATTCAGGGATGATGAACAGTTTTATCATCTTTTACAGCTTGACTTGTTGAATGAAGATAGTTACAGAGAACGCTCACTCTGGGACAACTGCTGAAAAGTTGCTGCTTTCATCTAATTACAGTAGAGCCCTTGAGAAAATAGATGAGAGAATTGTAAAGAAACCTCCACTATGGAAAACTAGAGAATGGAAGGAGGAAAAAAGGTCAACCTCTCCTGAAACACTGAGGGGTCTGCAACATCACTTCACTAGAGATCAACTTTAGAGCACGGGAACAGCTCGTAGAAGACCATTGACAACAGAAATGGGAAGTCACAATCAGTTTTAATGCATTCAAACAACATCTGAAGATACACAACATGTCACAACAGAAAACAGAACATCAATTAGTTCCTAGCACTCACTGAAACAAGCATTTTCCAGTATGAATTGGTCTAAAAATTAAGACTATAGCACAAACAACTATTCAATATAACTTATGACAGAGCAGTGCCTTCTGATGACAATAAGGAACAAAACTGTCCCACATTGGTAAATAATACTTAACCCTGAGCATTTGTCAGAGTAACTCGGTGAAAGAAAAGAAGGGAAAAGGAAACAAACTCAGTTGCATGATTTTACCTCCCATTTGCTCTGTTAATAAATACTATGGAGACATAAGCAGTCCCTGCAACAACACACATGACTTCCCTGCCTGCTTTGTCACAATATCTCTCATGAGGGGTAAGAATATTTTTTTCCTTAGTTCTAACCATATCCTCAGCCTGACTTTCTTTCCAGTTCCTCAATCTAAAAAGAAATCAGTACATGGGAGAAAAACCCAGACCGTCGAAATCCCAGAGAGGAGATATCACCAAAATGACCTGTTTCATTCTTATCGGGTTTAAAATCTGATACACACTTCTAATGTAAATGAGTACATCATACTCACCATCAACATAGCAAAATCTGGTGCATGCCCTGTCATTCCAAACACTGTTGTTTTGAGATAACGCTCATGCCCTGCTAAATCAATGAATGTGATCACCTTTAAAGGGGAAAAAAAGCAGAAAAGAATTGAATGTGATTAGTTCACTCCTCTCAAACACACACACACACAAAAAGAGAGAACCTGTGAAAATGTAAAATCACCAAAGAAACAAACATGGAAACTAAAATATTTGGTCTGTGTATCATTCAGAGTGTCTTAATCTTATGTTCTGGGCTTATTTTTCTCAACATGAACTAAAAGTATTACCTTGCTGTTATATAAGAAAAATCGTTATTGAAAAAAATGGCGGCTATCTCATGACAATAAAATCACAAAATAGTTCACTTCGAAATACACAATAAAAATGATCGCAAGGGAAAAACTTCTTTATTCTAAAATTTTTACAAATAAATTAT